GCCTGTCGCCGCCGGTCGCCGGCTTCACGGGCAAGTCACCTGCTTCGCGGCAATCAACTCGTGAAACACACACATTCACCTTTTGAGCTGTCTAATTTAGTGGTGATTGATGTTACATGTACACAGTTTAGAAATCGTTAAAGATAGCAGGGAAATTGATCTTGAGAGGTCTCAAAAGGTCTTGAAAAGATCTGGGACAGATGTTGACTCTCAATAAGGTATTTTAACCTAAAATTGAATGTTGATCTCGACAAAATATATCTCAGCATTCTTTCATCAAGTAATGACACTCTGTATTAAAAATAGTTAGTTCCCTTATTTTGTCTCTGAAAATTAAAGCAATTGATGAAAATGAGTGAGATCTTCAAAGGTCTTGGAAAGGTCTTGACTTGTAGTCACTGGTTGTTATTGGAAAGTTTTTCCACAAATGCAAGTTTTTTTCCCAGCTCTTGTATCTCTGTCCTTCAGAATAACACAGCCGGCTGCATCCCACTAGAGCTAGTTTGGCACAGGGATAGCAGTATTTTAAGTTGGGAAGTTTGAGACCATTTCTGTTTGCTCTCTGTGATGTTAGAATTCCTCAGCTTTGCGCGGAATTTCCGGTGTGGCTATCAATCAGACAATGTCCTTTTACCTTTGGCACAAACCATGCAGGTTTTGAGTAGAAATGTCTTTGATTGTTGTAATGTTTAAAAAAAAAACATTTAAAAAGTAAAGTCTGTCGCGAGCTAATTTGACTAATCAGGCCGGCGTTTATCTCTGGTTTTAGTAGCATGAAACGACTGAGAATATTTCTACTCCCCCTGGATGGGATGCTAGTCCATCGCAGGTTACTCCCCGGCCTAATGCCGGTGCCCATTTATACTCCTGGGTGGAGAGGGGCAAGTGGGGGTGAAGTGGCTTGCCAAAGGACACAACATATGACCAGCAGCTGGATTCGAACCCCGGACCCTCTGGTCATGAGTCACGAACCCTAACCACTAGGCCACACACTTCCCAAAAAAACATTTCAACAATAAATTAATCTTGAAGTTTGGACAGAGGTTCATAATGTAGAATTTCCAGAGTCTTCGGACACAGGTAAAGCCCGGAACCAGTGCCGACTTCTGTTCAAACTCTGGACCAGATTCAGATGAGTCGAGGAACATGTTTCCAAAGCTCTAGAAGATCTTCATGGAAACTCGACTACATCCCACCTCCTCAACCACTTAACAGCAAATCCTTTTTCTTACTTTATGTTTTACAATTCCAACTGTCCATAAACTGAATCAAGGCAGATTGTGAGTTGACCCACTTAATACTCATGCCACATATAAGTGTATAGCTCTTCAATATCCCTGGAAAAAAATTTTGTATCCAATGCACCTGTTACAAAGGAGATGTTCTTGACAGACAGTGTTTCTGCCAAAGTCTCGCTCAGATGGTGTCATCAATTGTCTTCTCGGTTGGCCTACCGGCAGGCTGGCAGTGATTCAGATTTGTCTGACAAAGGACTGTTCCGGAATACAGATGTTGTCTGCTGTGTTGTAGTCCGTTGAGTTTTTGTATGCTTTGGGTTGGGGGAAGGGGGCATAGATCGGAAACAAAGTAATCAATAGGAAAATTAAATGAGTCATTTTCAGAAAGACTTCCGGATGTCCAACATCTGCATTAACACGTGCACGGATCTGGATTAATTAACATGCGTGGGCTAGGGGTACATTATCTTGTGCACACGGTCTATTTTTTCTGTGTTGCAGTGGTGATAAATACGTTCAAAAGTCCTCGAGAATTATGGAGTGATGTACCAGGTACTAATTGAAGACCATTAATACGGGATGTTGCCCCCCTCTTTTCTCTCAGCGACTGATGCTTGACTGCCGAACAAGGGCCGAAACTTGCATCGGCGAAAGAGGCAACCAAGTAGAGGGCAGAGCAGAACCGTAAACTTCTAAGAAGTTCAACTTAACAGTCCTTTTCAGGACTACCTTTTTCCAAAATCAGAAAGCACCATTGTTGCAAAAAATATATATATAAAAGCCAAATACAGAAAGAAAGATTATACATTTATAATTTAAGAAAGCAAAACTACCCTCAACCCCAAATCCTTCACATGTACACTTAAGATGCGACAATTAAGACCGTGGGCAAAATGAAAAAGTGGCACTTTTGTTTTTGATTGGCCATAACTCAATAAATATCTTCCCATTTTTGAAACTAATGAACTAAACTTGTCAAATATGTATCAATATTTGCGATGTATTGTTCAAAAAGCTGTGGAAAAAAGTGCTTTGAGGGTTCGTTTTTTTAAATTTTGGGGGGGGGGGGGAATCAATGTACTTTACATCGACAACAGGAATATTTAATTTCAAGTTGGACACACCCATTTTGATTTTTTTTTTATCACCCGAGGATTTGTGCGGTGCAAATGCAATTCAACAATGATTGACCCGATAATCGCAAAGCATCACCCGTAAACCGGTGGTCACATTTTATACACATTTTGATGACCTCTTCAAATTTAATGCAAAGTCACACTCATTAGTAGCTTGTTAGGTTTGGCATATTTTTTTGCTTTGCTGTTCAAAGTACGGTATGCCAGATTGGAAGTTTCACTTAGTGTGCATTTTAGGCCAAAAAAAAAAAGTCTCCGGTTTCTGGTATGCGCGCGCGTCGCCGTAGCCATGCGCGTCGGCAAAATGAAAAAGTTTTTTTTTCAATAAAAGATGATGTCTCAAAACCGCCAAACTCACTGGTTTGACTGGAATCCTGCTGCTGCACAATTTTAACATGTTTTTAGATGGGGTTATGATCGAGAATAAGCTTTATGTGGCCTCTCCGGACTCCCATATATTTGCACTAGGTTTAGTCGGGCACCATTTGCAGTCATCAGCCGACATTTGAAGCAAAAAAAACAGGTAAAAAAAAAAAAAAAGCCGCGTCGCCGCACCACTTTCTGGGCAAGCTCCATACCAGAAACCGGAGACTTTTTTTTTTTGGCCTTACGTTTGGGAAATGATTTTGGAAAAAACAAAACCTGTGAAAAGAGGGCTGACCTGTTATGGCACAGAGGAACTTGGCCGGTAATCAGTAGGTACAGGGAACCAGTTTTGACCATCGGCCTTCCTCCTGCCGACAGAAATTCTAACCAAGCGAGCGATGATGTTGTCTTAATTAAAATGCTTTGTCATCGGAATGATTGTGAAAGTCGGGGAAAATTTTGGAAAGCCGGTCTGATTGAATGGTTAATTAATATTGGTATGGAACAGCTGTTTAGCTCTTCCTAGTTTTGTTATGTGCGTTTCTCCCTCGGGAGGGGGGGGGGGGATATTTCACAGCAAAAGCAGGCTGAATTTAAGGACACATGCATGATTGCGAGGCCTATTTAGGGATGATTTCTCTGCATTTAAAGATGCATTCCCTGTGCTTTTGAGAGTCCCATCCCCCAAAATGGGTTTGATTTTTCAATGGCTACATTCCTGGCAATACAAAAGTTACTTACTTTTGAACACGATATTGAATGAAAACATACACAGGCGGTTAGTTTTTAAACTATTTCTTCACAGAATTTGAAATTTTTGCAGCCCAGCAATAATTCGACTCTTGCAAAATAAAACTGTTTTTAACAAAACATACAAATTGAAAATTGGAGAAATTAATTTTTTTTTTTACATTATGCATGTGTCACTATTATGTTTTCAAGGTAGAAGAATTGCTGATATTTAGCATATTTTAAAGCAGAAATTTGATGTGATATTCCTCATGGAAGCTCTGAAATCATGTGTTTAAAGTAACTTTCGACAGAAGTGTGCCATTTGACCAAAAATGTAACCACACAACATATACAACTGAAATAACATTGCGAAGTCGTGGCCGTTTTTCATCATCTTTTTGAAACCGCTCACATTTTGTGAATTAAAGCTATTTGGATATTTTGTGGCTGATCGAATATTCGAATACTCAGTTTATTTGACTCAGCCCTCCAATGAGTTTGTAAAAAAAAAGAAAAAAAAGAGGAATACTCCCCCCCCCCACATATCAAGGCTTTTGATTGACAGCTCAATTCGCTCTTGTGACATTTTCAAACAGATCCATTCTAAAGGGTTTGACATCTATCGAGAGTTATTATTAACTTATTGTTTTCAACTTTGTTTCTTAATACGAAGTGTGTGTAACCTTTTAACATTTGGAAAATTTCTCTTCCAGTACTTGAATGAAGCTATTATGATCGTGCACTTCGCTGTGGTTATGCCAAACGGCTGGCCTTTGGGTTGAATTTCCCCTGTATATGCATAACAGATCCGTCACTATACCCCCAAACCTTATGTTTTATGACCTTTTTCTTTGCAAGCTTAGTAATTGACTTGTACATTGACCATTGGGAGAGCTAATTTGTTTGGACACAATGAAACATTAAACAGACCACGGGAAATTGTTGGAGTCAGTTTAATATGAAGGGAATGACAATCGCTAGGCTTTTGTTTTAATTTTAGTATCCCTGTGATTTTTCAAATTTATATTTTTTTCCAAACGAATTTTCAAAGAATTTAAGGTCCTTGAGTGAATAATTAAAACAAAAATTAATTATAGCAGGGATTCCTTAAAAAAAAAGGAGCCCTTTGTATTTTGCCCTTGTTTCGCACTCGAGCTGAATTTAGACTTGGCCCGAGTCAGGTATTACGCTTAGTCTTTGCTGTATGCATCCATGTACACACGCTGATCTAAAAAGTGCTCCAGCTCCAGTGTGATCGATATAAAATGTGATCTAAAAGTAATTTAAAGTCATTCTGAATAAATGCAAAATTCAATCACGTTGATTGAGATTTTGACAACTTGTTACATAAATCTTAATGAGCACTAACGGGGCCAGAAATTCAAACTTAGATGAAAACCACTTTACTTAAGATTAAAAACAATGAAATAGACTTGAGATGTAAAGTATGTAAAAGCAAAGATACAGATTTAAAACTAAGAAATAAAGACATTTTTATTCTGTTAATTCTTTTGATTTTTTTGAACAGATGTAGGGGATCTTTACTTCTCAGCTGTTACCAAGGAGAATGAAGGGGACTTCTTCTGCGTAGCAACCAATGATTTCATCCCTCAAAGTGTTACATCTTCAACAGCAACATTGACCGTCAGAGGTGTGTACGTGGGGCCTGTACAAAGATAACAAGAGATATAGCAATGATCCCCAAATTCATAGATTGTTCGAGAAATAACATACAGTACAGGTCAATTGGCAGAATGCGAGTGTACAGTAAATGTGACCGGCTCCCCAAAAGGGTATTATGTTGCAAGAAAGTGAAATTGAGTTACATAAATGGTTGGAAAGCCCACAATGTAAGCTTTCATTTGGCCCATAGCCCTTCCCGTTCTGGAGATATGACGTATTAGATATTAATTACTTCCTTGGAGTTCAAATTACAAAACTGAGAAAACCGGCTTTGAAATAGCTCACTTTGTTGTAGAACAACAGAACGATGCACACAAAATGGTTGTTTTTTCCACTTTGTTCATCAAAATCAACATTTCTGTGAATGAACCCTGAAACTGTAGGTACTATAGGTGTCATTCATGACAAATGAGGTTTGAATGCCAACTTGCAGCATGTCTCACCTCCAGGACTTGGACTCGAGTCCATCTCAAGTCGCATTTTTTTGTGACTCGTACTTGACTCTAGTCGCATCAGCCAAAGATTTGTGAACTCAGACTTGACTCTCATGACTGGGACTTGACGCTAACAACTTGGGACTTTTAAAAAACGTAATTCGGATGTTTATTTTCCGAAAGTAATGTAAAAGCAACGCTAAATAATGTTAACATGAACAGCACTGCACAATTGTGGTGTTGCGCATCACTTTCATTTATACATGTCCATGTCCATCCATTTTGTACATACATTGTACATGTACACCGGAAAATGACTTGTGACTTGTACTCAGACTTGAACCAAATGACTCTAGCCTCGGACTTGGACTCATCCCAAGTGACTCAAGACTCGGACTCGGCCCCAGTGACTCGTACTGCTCACCACAAACTGTAGTCAAAAAAAGAAAAATTGTTGTGTTGCCCACTCATGAAAAATATTAGGAGGGTCGGTACACAAGTATGCGATGTTTGCAGTTCATCACACCACATGCCCCAGTCCTCAGCCTCAGTTACACATACAAAATACGGTAAATTCGAACTGTACTGCCATTTAGGTACTTACGTTTTGTAACGAAATGCAGAATTATGGCATTACAAAGAAACAGTAACAGTAAGGTTACAATTAATTAAATTTTTTTCAAGTAAAAAAAAAAAAAAACTGGAGATTTCCAGATTTTTGGGTTGGTCTGGTTAGGGCAACACAAGTTTTTTTTTGTGCCTAACAACTAAGCCTACATCTTGTGTTAATGCAGAGTCAGAGAAAAGGAATTGGTTTTTCTCTGAAAAGTTTAAATTCCCTTTTTTTCCCCCAGTTGCTGCATCCATTATAGTACCGCCGGAAAACAAAGAGGTTGTTCTTGGAGAGGATCTGACACTGACCTGCGAAGCCAGGGGGGATCCCACCCCTATCATCATCTGGAAGAAAGATGCAGTGGTGATTTCAGCCGGAGGGAGAACAACAATAGGGTAAGAATGAGATTGTATCGACAGCTTTTTGTTTTTACTCTCACAGGAGTACAAGAATATCTGATATCTTTGTTTTGTGACGTGGTTATGCTGCAATTGTGGTATTTTTTTTGCTTTCATGCAAATATTTCCCACTTAAGTTCTAAAAAGCCTGATCTCACTGGAGAATATTTTTCAGAAATTTAACAGGCCTTCACATATTTATTTTATTTTTATTTATTTATTTTGGCAAAAACAAACAAACATACAATGGTATAAAAAACGAACGTATTTCATGTAAATACAAAGCCAAGGATAACCTGAAAAGCTGTTTATAAGACGGCTTAATGCCATCGGGGTCCTTAAAAACTCACAAGTACAAGTACAAATAAAAAAGTTCAAAAAAAAAATTGCACTGGATCTAGCAACAGACAAATAATTTAAAGAAAAAATCACAGAAATCACAAAAATCTCAGCTGCTTAAAAAACAAAATTAATAAGAAGAGAGATGTTCTTTCACTGCCCTTTTAAAATGAGGAAGATTGTTTGAACAGTTGATGCTGTTTGGAAGTAAATTCCATTGATGAATTCCGGTATAAAAAAATGAAGTGTACTCTTGCCCTTTAATTCTTGGAAAAACAAAATTGGTGGAACTGCCCCTGGTAGAATAATTGTGCATATCTGAGACCTTCCTAAATTTATGACAGAGATAGTCTGGTGCCATTGCATGAAAAATTTTAAAAACATGATTCAGCTTGACGCGGTCATTAACGTTTATCATGCCCAGCTTGTTCAGTTCTGCTTGACCAATATGTGATCTGGAATCCATGTTTAAAATAAACCGGACTAATTTATTTTGGGTAATTTGGAGCCTTTTCTTCAATTTTACCGACAACGCAGAGTACCAGGATGAACAACAATAGTCAAAATGACATTGTATTAGAGCAGAACAGAGTGTTTTTCGGGATCTCTCATTCAAACAATATATAGAATAATTTGGCGACAGCCATTTTCTGAGGCGGCACCAGGCTCGCGTGAGTCGTGCTAAGGTAGTACGCACGCACTCCGGACTCCTGCGACCAATAGGGTTACCATTAAGAATGCGTGCAGCATGAGCACGAACGTGGTGCCGCCTCAAGAATGGCTTCTAATTTTATCCACCGAATAAGTCCATGGCAGGAATATTTTTAAGCAATCATTGATTTTCAAATTTTTTTTTATGATTTAATTTTTTTCTTTCAGAAACTCTGGTCAGTTGTTGCACATTGTCAGCCTCATCGGACTGGACCAGGGAACGTACACATGCGAGGTGTCCAACATGTACGGCACAGAGTCAGCATCAGCGTATGTTGACGTACTAGGTATGTTCATCTATGTTAGTAGTATTTGTAGATTTAATATAAGCCCTAATTTCTAAAGATACGGATGTGACAATAAAATCTCCACCCGTGGTCAAATGTGATGCGTTCTGGCAAAATGAGACAGACGTGGGCAGAGGTCAAAATGACGTTTTGCAAGTATAAGGAAAAAGAATATAATTCTCCTTTAAATAAGATTTGCAACTTTGCATGGCGGTACTGTAAACCAGTGAGGGTTTGCGGTAGCACCATGTGGAAGAATCTCTTTTGAGTAGATGTGTGGTTCTGAAAAGAACCGGTTGGTTGTTAAACTCGACTTTCCAATCAGTGTGCTCTGATCGTCTTCAGGAGAAAAATTCTACGTACATTACTGTTTGTTGCACTTGAATCGGACATTCCGTTGACAAGTAATGTCTGTTTAAAGTTCGCATTTATCAACATGTCAGAAAAGTAAATTACTTAAAAAAGGGCAAATAAAGTTTTGAGTTTTGTATTCGTGAAAATGAAAGATGCCAAAAATATTTCCTTTAAAATATGTTTGTTCCAGGTTTTTTTTATGCTATATCTTATCATATAAGTTGTAAACAAATTACAAATATGTTCATTTTAAAGCTAAAGATATTGTGCTTGGCGTTAACATGGTTATGTAGTTATAACATCAGAATTCAATAATAAAGGCCAAAAATGTAAAGTCATATTTGGTTTTGCTTGTCACCTATGTATATTTTATCCAAAAATACGTCGGTGTCTCGGTGATGGGCACATTTTTTATTGAATGTCCAAACGTGCAGTCGCATAGTATTGATATACCAGGTTCGTATATCAAAACTAGTTACGTCAGTGCCAGACAATAGAAATTGTCTTTCGAGGAACTTTTAATTTGAAGGAGGAGTTGCAAAATCTGGTGAATTAATTGTCTGAGCTATTCCTTCCGGCACAGGAAATCTCGGTAAGTAGTAGAACAAATGGTAAACATCTTCAGAAGAAAAACCTGCCCCCTCCACCCAGCACTAATTGGCTTTTGTCAAATCTCGGTTACTAAAAGCTCTGAAAATAGCACTCTGAAATTGGCACATCATTCTGCTGAATACATGGGTTTACCCCCACGCCCTAGTTAAGTCAAGCGATTTGAAAAGTAACCACATTCAACAGTGGGTGTCACAAACCAGAGAAAAAAAACCCAGATCATTTGTTGGTGTTATTCATGGTCAAAGAAAATCTTTCCGACGCGATTCCCACACTTTGTCTGACAACTGTTTCTGATCAGATGACAAAGGAACTCGGGATCTGAGACAGAGAAGTTGAGACAACTGCTGTCACGGCTGTCTAAATGCTTCCGTTGTTGAAAACTTGTATTGTCAGACACCTAGCTTTTTTTTTTTTTTAACCGACATGTATTTTTTATTTACACTCACTTAATGCAGTCCTTCTGATTTTAAAATCATGGCTGTGTGGAAAATTAGGCACACCTGGATTTTTCTAGGCGTGCGATTTTTCTAGGCATGTGATTCTGTGGTCCAAGCTGGGACTGAACAGTCTGGTATTTTTTTTTTAAATGTTCATCTTGGTTTACAGTAAAGCCATTTCAAGAGCTCACAGATGTATAATCATCACAGATGTAAATGTGTGCAGAGGTGTGCGGTACTGAGGGATTCAGGCGTGCGATTGTTCGCACTTCTCGGGAAGCATTAAGGCGTGTGATGGCGTGGGGGGTGCGATCGCACGCCTCAAATCAGAAGGACTGATAATGCAGCCAGTCTTGTGTGGACATACACTCGTCTGTACAAGGTATTTGTGGGGACTGAAAATGCTGTGGGGAAAGCAGAAAGTCCCCATAACTCGGTCTTAATTTGCCATACAATAAAGCTTTCAAATGAATAAAAAGCCGTATCCTCTCCGAGTGATCCTCTTTTGCTGTTTCCCAGGTCTGTATCCTGACTTTGGGCGTGATCCCTGGCTGTATAGCATACTGGTTTATGGCTTCTGACTAGCGCCCCTTGAACAAAGATATTGACTAATAGGGGAACTGCCAACATACCGGTAGGGCTGGATAGCTCAGTTGGTAAGAGCACCGGAACAGTTTTCCCGGAGGTAACAGGTTCAAACCCCTGCACCAGTCAATTTCTTTCTTCAATTTTTGAAATAAAAAACTTGCCCATAACGCGGTGTAGGCCAGGGCACCCAGACTTGTACATGTACATTGCATACCTACAGTGGACATTTCTTTGTCTTTCGTGTAGAGAAAAAAATAATTTGACTCGCACCGTGCACAGTCTTTCAACCCAAATTTTCGATCATGATTTCCTTGACTGTCCTCTGAGTTTTTGCGACAGATAACCCTAATCCAAAAATTCTGCTAAAACTGTTTTCCAGAGAGGGGCGCGCCTTGAGTATGTAACCACCGGCAATCGTGGACCTAGGACAAAAGGGTTAGGGTACAAACAATACGTCCACGATTGACCGAACGTCCACGATTGAAATTCGCGTACAAAACCAATGAGAACTGTTGCTAAAAAGTTCAGCTTTTAAAGTTATTCTATAAATAATACTCTTAGTCCGTTTCCCTTTTGGGGTTATATGAGAGAAAAAAACCCCAACAACCCCAAACAGTGTAGCACTGTGTTAGACTCAAAATATAAACTGTTACATAGATACAGATAACTTTTTAATGATAAAAATTTGCTGAATATTGCTTATGTATGCTGTAAGGCTATATGTCAATATGCCGCTGACATCACTTACCTTTAAACAAATATTGGTACCGATCTACATGTATACATCGGCGACTACGTATGTTCCAAGTTTAATGCAGGAATTTGGTACATGGAGTTTGGATTAATGAGAAAGTTAATGACGGACCCCTGTGATATTCTGCACTGAGACATTGTGCCTGTTTGAAAGAGTGCTTATTTATTTGACAGCCCGACATTTTCTGAAAATGAATCTGAATACTGCTTGGATTGCTCTGATCAGAATCCAAGTTGGTGATAAACTTTTGCAAATTGTTCTGTGTTCGCAATGCATGAATTGCCACAATCTTAATACCATCTTGTGCCAAGCAAAATGCCTTCTACACTTTACTGGGTATGTAGGACAAATAGATTTTCAATTGTGTCGGCCACCAAAAACCACTGTACCCAACATCCAACCGTGCCTTCAAAGTTGAACAAGTATGTTAATAACAAATTAAATTCCCGAGAATGGGGAGTGAAGGTGCCAAGTCCAGGCCTCAATCAAGCGATAACGTTCATCTACACTTGTACGATAACCCATCACACCCTATTCCGCTCACCAAGGGAAACTATCAATTACGGCCCAATCATCCATGAAGGAAGTTTCTCCCCCCCCCCCCCCCGAGACACTTGGCATTCCACAAGGCTGAGGCGACGCCATCACAGCACACGCGCGTAGATTCGCTTAACGCTATGCGGCAAACGGGTATCTGTAGGTGACTAAATCCCTGTGGCGGCTCCGCCGATGGACCAACAAAAAAAATTCTGTCGTCACAGAATTACAGCGATTACTTAAATGGGGCATGTGGGGGAAGCATGAATCATTCCTTAATTGTTGCTTGATGGTAAAGCGAGCACTTGGAGTTTTGTGCGGGCGAAGTTTGCTTTTGATCTTTAATGAATTTTGTGTTGTCGGTCCATAATGGCACGGAATGGACTGTGGATTATTGTTCTAGTGATTGCTACATTTGCTGTTCTCAAAGGTAAGTGGAGAAAAAAAATAAGGCAGTTTCAAACAGGTTAGGTTTCATGTATTGCTCATTTGGTTGCTTGATTTATTGATATTTTTTGAGGGGATTTGTTCTTTCTTTTTCTGAGCTGGCACATAGCCAGTGCTGTTATTGTCGTCAAATGTCTGGTCTTATTATCCAGATGACTCAATGGAGTTCTGGAACTGCAAGGTAATGAAGTATGTTGTAGGTTTTCATTTGTAACGTTTTTTTCCCTGATTTCAGGAATTTTTTATCAGGATTTCTCCTGATTTCAGGAACTTTTTGTCAGGGTTTTTCCCTGATTTTTGGAATTTTTTGTCAGGGTTTTTCCCTGATTTCAGGATTTTTGGGGTCAGGTTTTTTTTTCCTGATTTCAGTATTTTTTTGTCATGCTTTTTCCTGATTTAAGGATTTTTTGGTTAGGATTTGTCCTGATTTCAGGATTTTTTGGTTAGGATTTGTCCTGATTTCAGGATTTTTTGGTTAGGATTTTTCCTGATTTCAGTATTTTTTTGTCATGTTTTTTTCCTGATTTAAGGATTTTTTGGTCAGGATTTGTCCTAATTTCAGGATTTTTTGTCAGGGTTTTTCCTGATTTCAGGAATTTTTTGTCTTGATTTTTCTTGATTTCAATATTTTTTTCTGTGCTTTTCCTGATTTCAGTCCTAATGAGAAAAAGAAATGTTTCAAAAATATGTGGCTCACTCTAATAAAAACAACACAGGAATAATGTAAGTAATATTGACTACTACCGGGTAACTGTGAACATTTCACTTAATTTGAACACTCTATTCGTAAGTTATGTCTATTTTAATACAAACATCACAACATTCACCTGTCCTCCACTGATCATTTACCGTTCTACGCATTGATGAATACCCTTTAAATGCAGTGAAACGTGACGTTTGCCTGCCTCCATGAATTAACAAAAATTTGCACAGGAAAACAGTCATTTCAGGAAAAAAAAGACTTCATTTTTTCTATATTCAAAACACAAAATCTGACAGTAAGAGTAATGTATCAGTCTTGACTCAAATTATAAAAAATATCATTTGTATGTGAATGCATGTGCGTAATCTCTGGTTCTCACTCAGCTTAGTAGCTTCAAATGGCATTCCACGGACAGTTGTAAAAATGGTTTCTTTTTTAGTGAACTGTGCATAACTTCTCATAGCATGGATCAATATAAGTGATTGTTTTCTTTTTCTTGTATGAGTGAAAAAACATGGTCATTTAATATATGCCTCATCAGTGTGTCAAATTATTAATCCAGGTCACTTTCTTTTGGACCCACCCTGTAAAGTATTAAACAGATTTTATATGGGTATGTATTTTGCAGGTCAAAAACTTATGGCAAGGAAAACTATAGGAAATCAAAGATTAAGAATTTATATGATAATACAGTGATTAATTCACCTTTTGAATACAAGGGTCAAACAGAATTGCATATTACAAATGCACTAGCTTCTCTTAGCAAAGCAGATTACAGGCATATTCTGCCTGCGCTTAGGCCAAAAAAAAAAAATATTCGGTCTCTGGTCAGACCAAAAGTTTCGGAATTGACGCGGCCACGCGGCTTTTTTTTTTTTTTTTTTTTTTTTTTTTTTTTCTTCAAGCTTGGATTGTACAGACAAGGTGGGTACTATTTTGCTTTTTTTGTGTCTTCATGTACATTGGTGTCCTCCATAATTTGCCTTGGTGCTTTCGATCATTTGCCTTGGTGCAATTTCCCATTCCTTGGTGCTCTTTGGTAAAAAAAAAATTGAGGAGGTGCGGAAATAGAGGGCGCTGTTTGAGCTACCGCGGAACATTTTGGAAAAAAAAAAGATCGACGCGCATGATTAAAATCGACGCGCGCGCTGACCAGAGACCGACTTATTATTTTTTTTGGCCTTATATCTAGTTTAGAAAGATGGGAGGGGTGTGAAGTGATCTTCCCAGGATGATGTGATTTAGCTATGATTAAATTAGTCCCATTTTTAAGAATGCATTTATAGAGTTGTTTGTCAGTTTTCATGACGCGGACCAAATTTTGTCACGCCAAACCTGGCATATTGAGTAAGTAGTGTGGGATGTGGTTGCTTCAAAACGTCCCTTGTCACCATCATTCATATAGAATTTGCTTAACATTGTGTTCCTAAAGATTGCGGTATGTAAATGTTGGCTGATACCACACATGATCCCAAAATGAAGTCTACTTTCCATGTTTGTGTAACCTGAAATTTGCCGAAAGATGGTTATGTTGTGCAAAATGTAGCTAAATGACATGCCAGGTTTCATGTCACATTTTTCAAACACCATTTTCTAGTCACATGTACCTGTACCCAGGGCCGGATTAAATGTTCCGTAGGCTCTAGGCACCAGTGTCCTGTAGGCCCCTAGACTCTAGCCAAGCACCAGTTCCAATTTCATGTTGATGCTAAGCTGTACTGAGTAAGCAAGGCCAAATGGGTAGCTCTAAAAGCCTGTTGGCACACTGGTATTTTCGTAGGCCCTCAAATTGTTCCTAGGCCCCTGAATTTTTCGTAGGCCCTAGGCACAGTGCCTACTGTGCCCATTGGATAATCTGGGCCTGCGTGTACCTTATGTAAGTTTCACTAAGACCAGGCTCTGCCAACCACAGATTTCCGTGCTTATGATCGCAATTTTGTGCTAACAGTGCTGGCACAAAACTCTGTGCTAACCCTTTAAGCAATAATCATTCAAAATGACTGATTTTGAGCCAGTTTTGCTTCCCCTGTAATTTGTTGAGCAGTTTTCTCTGCCCAGCAGCTCTTGGGGCCCAGTTCAGAATGCACACTTGTTCATTTTCCAGTTTCTGTTGATTTATTTTTGTCTCCTTTTTTTTCTTCTGTGAATTGCAGTAACCCCACAAATCACGTCAGGGCCAGGTGACCTGCGGGCCGGTCTCGGGTCCTCGGTCCTCCTTCCCTGCGTTGCCATCGGTGACCCGGTCCCCGCAATCACATGGTACAAAGACAACGCAGAGCTCACACTACCGCCTGGTGACCCTTACTACCTGGTGACTCAGTACGGTCTGAATATTACTAGAGTCAGGGTACAAGATGGAGGCCGATATCGTTGCCGGGCTACCAACAAGGCGGGTGCCAGTGAGAGCTCAGGAACGCTGGTTGTTGAGAGTAAGTACTTTCAATCCAATAGCAATTTGAAGTGATTGTTTTCACAGAAGGCCCAATTAGTGTTTTGGAAACCTCAGATTGTCTTGCCTCCACATTGATGGTTTCTATCAAGTTATTAATCAGGGGTGAGATTTTAGGATTTTATAGTCAGGAATTTTCCTGAATTGGGGATTTTTGGTCAGGATTTTTTCTGATTTCAGGATTTGTTTTGGTCAGGATTTTTTATCCAGCTTTTTCCAGATTTCAGGATTTTTTTGGTCAGGACTTTTCCTGATTTCAGAATTTTTCCTGATTTCAGGATTTTCCTGATTTCAGGATTTTTCCTGATTTCAGGATATTTTCTGATTTCAGGATTTTTTTGGTCAGGATTTTTTATCCAGATTTTTCCAGATTTCAGGATTTTTTTGGTCAGGACTTTTCCTGATTTCAGGATATTTTCTGATTTCAGGATTTTTTATCCAGATTTTTCCAGATTTCAAGATTTTTTTCGGTCAGGACTTTTCCTGATTTCAGGATTTTTCCTGATTTCAGGATTTTTCCTGATTTCAGGATATTTTCTGATTTCAGGATTTTTGGGTCAGGATTAATCCTGATTTTAGGATTTTTTGGTCAGGATTTTTTGTCCAGATTTTTCCAGATTTCCGTTTTTTTTGTCATGATTTTTTTTCCTGATTTCAGGATTTCTTGGTCAAGATTTTTTCCTGATTTCAGGATCGCTCAGGATTTTTCCTGATTTCAGGATTTTTTGGTCAGGATTTTTCCGGATTTCATAATTATTTTGTCCAAATTTTTCTGATTTCATGATTTTTTTTCAGGATTTTGTTCCAGATTTCAGGATTTTTTAAGAATCCCTTTTGAAATCTTGAATTTGAAATCTGAGATATTACTGTAAATATGTTGTTACATATAAAAGTTTACATAGTTTTCATAGAAGAAACTTTTTTTTTTTAGGGGAGCCGTTAGTCAAATTTATACCAACATACATGTATGCCATAGTCCTTGGGGCCCTCAGCCACCCTCATACCCTCTGCCGATCATTTTGTGGATTTGTCATTTTCTCCCAATCTCACCCCTGATTAATAGCTTCCATTATAGGCTTCAAATTAAATTTTCAAACTAGATGTTGAGCAGATATAATAAATTGAATAAGTACCGAGATTTTGGCAAGGGTTTTTCGAAAGGAAATGTGAGTTGAATCATTATAATTGGTTACATTAGGAGTAATTATCTTTTTCAAGCGATAGGTTTTGTACCAAGCAAAGTCCTCGTTAGTGTCATTAATACTAGTAATTAAACAATATTGTTTGACCAAGGCCACCTGTTATGTTTGGTACAAACCTGGATAGCATCAGATGTGAGGCGACACGTCGTAAATTGGCCCCAGCGCTTCATGATTGTCTCGTATATTGATATGTAATAGGGTACTCTGATTTGGGGCTTACATTTTTCCTACAAAACATTAGGGTGCATTTCACTCACGTAAATGTGTTTGAGTTTGTCAGCTAGGCCCTGCTAATATGCAATCCCGAGTGGATCAATAATGTCATTGAAAAATTGTCCAAATGGTGACGCCCTGTATGCAAATCCTACAAGAGTCACTGTTCAGATAGCAGCTTTTAAAATCCTCACAAAATTCATTGTGACTGGAAGTGAAATATTGCTAATAATATATAAACTTAAAACATAACCTCCCTTAACTACATCATATAAAGCCCGGGAAGGGACAGGGTGGAATTTTTTTTTTTGTAATTTGCTAATTCGTTCCCACGAATTGTTAAGTCGTTCCCATGAATTACTAATTCGTTCGCACGAATTGCTAACTCGTTCGCACGAATTGCGATTTCATTCGCACGAAATGCTATTTCGTTCGCACGAATTGCTATTTCGTTCGCACGAATTTCTGTTTCATTCGCACGAATTGTTAATTCGTTCCCACGAATTGCTATTTCGTTCGCACGATTTCCTAATTCATGGGAACGAATTGCTAACTCGCGCATCTGGGAACGCCTTAGTAATTCGTGGGAATGAGTTGGTAATTCGTGGGAATGAGTTGGTAATTCGTGGGAACGAATTAGCAATTCGTGGGAACGAATTAGCAATTCGTGGGAACGAATTAGCAATTCATGCGAACGAGTTACCAATTCGTGCAAACAAAATAGCAATTCGTGCGAACGAATTAGCAATTCGTGCAAACGGATTAGTAATTCGTGGGAATGAATTAGCAAATTACAAAAAAAAATCCACCCTGTCCCTTTCCGGGCTTCATAACATCACCTCCCTTCACCGTTGAAAAACCCTTCAGTCTCTTGATGACGGGCAGAGCATACTGTCCGAAACACTGAGTCCCCCCCCCCCCCCCCCCCGTTCTTTTCAGAACCTCACTAACTCATAAAAGAGATTTGTCACATGGTGCTACCATAAATCTTTATCTTAATGTAGAGTTTGGGTATTCCTATTGGTTGAAGTAGCCAAAAGTGCATGTGTGCCACCTGAGCGCGACTTGTGCGAGCCTGACGCCTACTCAGAAAATGGCCGCCGCCGGATTAGTCTCTAGCCGCTGTAGATTTAGACTCACGATCATGGAGCCAAACCCTAGCAGTGACTTACAGAGTTCCAGTGCTACCTTCCATCAAACGAACCTGCATTGATTGCTTATTACACAGGTATTAATACAAGGAAGTATTTTTTTTGATGAGTCAGTGTGTGACTTGCGAGGGCAGGGCAAGGTCTTTCCACACCTTGTTGGCACCCTGATCCAAGCTGGCTCCCTCCAAGATTCCGAGATAGTTTGGGCTAAGACCCCCTTCAGTTTCAATCATAAGATTGAGAATTCATGAGGCTTCACTCAAGTCATACTTAAGTCAACATCCGCAACACCCGCTGCCATCACAACCAGGCTTGAATTCCATCACACAAACATCATTCCAGAAGCGTAGGCTAACAAGTTCCATAATATACACATGCTCCACGTCAATGTACATTTGCATGCATGTAACATCGACAGTCTCTTAAGTCGCACCTGATCCATTTGCAGTTACACACTGCAAAAGCTTGACAAATCAAAGTAACCAAATTTAGAAGACTCAATCATTTTTTTTGTTCCTGTAGTTATGAGAGAGTGGTACATGACCTGTGAAGGTTTTGAAATTGTATTTGAAATGAACAAACATTGGTTCAGGAACAAAACAAATTTTCAGTAAAATTTTTGTCTGTGATTTAAAAGAAGCAATATGTGAACCAAAGGGGTTTTAGATTCACTGAGGCAAACCTCTGGTTGTGCGAATACACAAGCAACGCTGATTGGGTGTTAAGAATGTAAATATGTATGTGGCGTAAAGCAATCTGCACTAATTGTGAAAATTTCGAATGAAAATGCTGATTCCCTCAAATACTGCCATGTGATTGGCTGCTACCCAAATCTGGAGATGATATCGTTGAACGTGTACAAGTTCCTGGCAAGACACGTGTATTTTGTAAGTGAATGAATACTGCAAAGACCAAGCGAAATACCTGACTTGGGTAAAGTCTAATAATCCCCAGGTGCTGACTCGTGAAAATTTCGAATAAAAATGCTGATTCCCTCAAATAATGCGATGTGATTGGTCGATGAGCACATTGAATGTGTACAAGTTCCTGGCAAGATACGAATGTATTTTGTAAGTTAATGAATAGTGCAAAGACCAAGCGAAACACCCAACTTGGGTCAAGTCTAAGAATCCGCAGTCGCTGACAGTCTCCATCTGCAGAGTGGATTAGTTCTAATACCCTCAGATTAAGGTGTTATAAAGCTCATACAATGGTCAAGACCACTCCTATCACCCCTTGTACCAAGCCTCGTCTACAGCCGTGTTTACACCATGGGCAGCATGTTCAACCTTCTGGTTTCTTAACGAGACATGAAAAGTTGGAGGTTTTTGAAATTGGATCAAACAGCTTGGCACAGGCGTCGCCAGACCAATTTTGGCATCTGGGGTGTGACCACAAGTTTGCCGACTGCATGACGGGCCAGTTGGGGGAGAGGCTGGACTGGGCAATGTCGGATGTAATATGGCGCTTGGTGGTAGCCTGTTTTGCCGACAGTTTCTCAACTTTGCCGACAAGACTGACGATTGAGTTGGGGGAGGGGGGCAGGGAGAGGGTTGGGGGGGGGGGAGGTGGGAGGGGAGGGGCAGTGGAACTACAAGGTAGGGTATAGATAGCTTTCAAACAAGATGTCTGAAAAACGGATGTCAACAAATCTCCTAAAGAGGTGCCAATTCATTTATTGCAAAATTGGTCTGGCGACGCCTGTGCCAAACGGTTTGATCCACTTCCAAAGTGGCGTGCCATGGCGTCATTTTCTGGAGCATTGAATTTGTGATCTGCGGGTAATTCTGCAGGTTGGTTCTGGGTTCAAGTCCAGCCTGGGGTTATGGTGCATGTGCCCTTGGGCAAGGCATTTTGTCATTCATTGCTTCTCCCCACCCAGGAGTAATTTGGGTACCTGTGAGGACAGAGATGGTTATTGTGATTGATTAGAGCTGCTTTGTGCTGAAGAGGCAGCAGCCAGCTGTATACTCCCCAGGGAGTTGAGATGGTATTTGGAATGTTTCATTGACCCAATGATCAGGTTAATAATGCTGTAGCACCTTGAGCACCAATACTTGTGGATATGTTCGCTTTATAAATACACATTATTATTGTCAGTTCAGTGCTGAGGCTCTTACAGAAGTCGAGAGATTGCCCAACAAATAGAAAGCAAATATCAGTTTAAGAAACCTTCCAGCACTCAGCGTGAAATTATAAAAATCTGAGCACAGCTTCCCTCTTATCAACCAGCAGAGGATACAGCTTTGGATGTGTCTGTTGCAATCTGTTCTTGGACTGATACAGTTTGTGTGGGAGTTAACTTTATTTGATGCTTCTGGAGGCTTGCCTGACCTGATAAGCTAATTATTCAAATTATGCGTGGACGTTACACTTCAGTGAAATCATCTTCTGTTTCCCCTGGTGGGCTTTAC